CACATCCTGTTCCCAGAGCAGGTAGAAAGGAAGAATTAAAACAAAAATAAAAAATACCAATGTCTGTATATTAATTCTACAAGCATACATAGTGCAATCCACTTCTCCAAAAGCTTGAGTTTTGTGTTTTTTTTTTAATCTCCAGTTGTGTGTCTGATCCCTGACAAATGAGATGACAAGCATTTTAATAAGCATCAAACATAGCATCTGGGTCTGCTTGACCCAGAGGGATGTCCTTAGGCTGGCAGCCATTCTATAGGCTGGCACACAGAACATGAGTTTCTCCTTTCAAAGGCTCTCTGGCTCATGCGCAGGAGGCACAAAGGAGTTGAATCAAAACATAGTTTAGAAAAATGTGAATCCTCCAATCTGTACCCAGTAGTGTTCATTTCCATCTATCATTCCTATGTACAGTGACCACAAATTTGGCAAAGTTAGTACAGCCTTGCTATTATTGAAACATGCAGGTGCCAAGCTGCACAGCCTCTCTTACCCCTGAGATACCGCTCCTAAACCGTGTTAGTGCAAGTTGAAAAAAAGCTGCAGCATTCCTTCTATTACTGACAGTAATACAGCAGGACTCTCGTTTGCAATGTACAACAGAAAAAACTGCCAAGAAATTGGATCTATTGCTACAAGTTTAATGGCTATTATCTTTCCCCTCAAATGCCCTGAAATGCAAATATTTTATGGTTGTTGCATGCTTTGTCGCAATAATAGTCTTCATTTACTTTAATTTCACATTGTTATCGCATAAAAAGACAGAATCAATCAGAGGGCGGGGGGTCTGTCTGAGGACCATATGCATTTGTTCTGAAAGCCTTGGAAGGGACCCAAAAGCCCTGCTGTGCAGCAGATTGTTGAAGCAACCTTGTGCTTAGGTCAATGGAGCAGCTTGAAGTCTGCATAGGCAGTTGCATTTGCCACCCCAGGGACAGCCCCATGGGGCACAGGAGGGATGTGCCAGTTTTCTCCAGCACAAAAATAGGATGGGTGCTGTGCTGAGCCAGACATGCAGCCTGAGCCACGTGTATTGGCACGAGAAGACTCAGCAAGTATCTGCACCGAAGGCAAGCTCAAAAGCTGGAAATGGGGGCAAACAGCACCCATGATACTAGACCAGGTCTTCTGAGGTCACTGGCAATTACTACAGATGGCATCTCTACTTTTGGAATTCAAAAATGCTACTGCACTCTGGTGATTTAGGCATTCACAGTTGTCCTCATTCCTCATCTAAGACTCTCATCTAAGGAGTCAGCAAGACTTTTTGACCACAAATACAGTAACGTTCCAGATTCCATTTCTGTATGGACTGGGACAGAGTTGAACACTGTAAGAACGAGACGTGAGAGAGCAGATGGCTGACAAAGTCTTACCATAGGACTGGGATAGTTCAGATGTGTCTGCTGTGCAGTGCAGTCTTTATACAACGCAAAACAGAGCTTCCAGAGTACAGTCTACTCATCAGAAACTTTTAACCAGATATGGGGACACCATCACAGCTACAGCAGCTATTCAGCAGTCGGGTTCATTGGTACTACCAGAAAGGCTGATACTGGTACCAGCAGACTCCAGGATTAGATTTAAGACAGTTTCAAAACTTAAGTTATTAAACAAAACTAGAAGTCACTAATAAATCAATATCTAATTTTTTTTTTTTTTTAAATGCACTACTTGTTTTTTTCCCATCCCAGTTTCATAATAACACTTTCCAGAAATACAACCCATAGGCAGTCCAAAGCACTGCTGCAGTTTCACAAACCCAGACTCATCTGTTACAAAGTATTTTTCCCTGCTGCAGATAGTGGTAAAACGTATCTACATTATTTTTAAACAACAACAGAAGAAAAGCAAATAAGGTAAACCCAGACTTGCTCTGAGGTAGCACAGGCAAGTTGCTTTCTTTACGTTGTGTATTGGGAATGCCAAAAATAAACACTAGTATGGCATTCATACAGCAAGTGGGGTTTCCATATATCTGACTCTTTTACCACGTTTCTAAAGTCAAAGCACAAAGTGTAAAACACAGTCTGATATATTAGGCAGTTTTCTAGTAATGTCAAGTGCAACCTCCTCCCTGTCACCTTCATTCTTATCACATTAAGCTTTTGTTCTCATCCAAAATTCAGAGGGGTTCAGTCTCAAAACTTAAAAAATGTTTTGTTATAAAAGCAGTGGCTGTTTGGAGAGAAGACTGTGGTCCATCCCATAACTTTTTTTTCTGTTGGTCAGCTTCTACAAAATATCACAGCCAAAACATTGCATGAGAAAGGTTATAACAGCAAACAGGAGAAAATTTCAAATAAGGATAATAATAGCAGAGTAACCTCACCTAATATTTAAAACTCAGGAATAATAGGGCAACCATTAGGAACTCCTGTTTCATTACCCCCAGGGGCTCAAAAGAATAACTATATAGTATCACTGTCCAGGCTCAGGCCCTTAAGGTAGGCTTTCACATCAGTGAAATGTGGATTTCATCACATAATGTCACTAGGAGCAGATAAGTAAGACCAGACTCTAGTCCAAAATTCTTTTCTGCACAGATTGTAATTGGTTGAGTGCCTACTGCTTGTTATTCCAGTTATTGACAGAGATTGCCTTAACAGTGGTACTTACCACCTTCTTATCAAGCTGAGAGGACTCTTTCTACTTACACTGAGCACCCTCTGGTCCAATTAATGCAGTGAAAAAAGTGCAGAATGGTTTCTGGGTTAGATTGCTCTGAACAACCAGTGCCAAAAAAGTGAGCTGCTGTAACTGTGTGAGACTTGTTACAAGATAAAAAAACAATGGTACCTTTCCTGGTTTCCCTATGGTTAATAAGTTGGGGACCTCATTTAAAATGTGAAGTTGTTGCTAAATCACAGTGACACCATTAGTGAAAAATCATTGACACACAGCTTTTCACAACAGAAATCATGTTCCACTCCATCCTTCCTATGGCGTGATTTGTATCAACTTAACAATATTGACTTAAATGAAAAAAATTACACAGATTTCCTCTCGGTACAGGTTCCAATTGGAAGAACGTGAAGAACTACTTTTTGTTTACCAAGGAAATTCCCATAGCATTAATGTTCCCAGGGAGGAGGAATTCTCCACCTAGTGTCAAAATCATTTTGTCAGGTCAAGATTAAATATCAAATAGAAATGGAAACTCAAACAAAATTCTGTGAACTCTGCTCGAGTTTACTGCCACCATAAGACACAGAGAAAAGGAGCAAGACACAAAAAATGGACAAACGGCAGCATTTGTGAGAAGGGCAGTACAGGATTAACAAACTACAGCAATTTGGTTAAAGAAATTGCAAATGCAAAAAGCCTCCTGGTCTGAACAGGGACACCTTACAGCTAGGTCAGGTTGCTCGAAGCCCCATTTAGCTCGACCTTAAACGTCTCCAGGGACAAAGTATCCACCTTCAATTTCAAAAGAAAAGCAGCAGGACACCCAGCCAGATACATTTTGTCTCTGAATAGAGACACTTTCCAAAGCGCACAAAAAGTTCTTCACGTGGTAAGCCTTACACAACGCTGCTATGAGGGTGGTGATTCCGTACAAAGTCCTTATGCAATTCAGGGTAAAACAGTGCAGAGACACTGAGGAGCTGAGACTTCAAATTTGCCTCCTGATTTTAGGCAAGTCTGTCAGTGAGCAACACTTTCTCTACAGGTAGAGTTTATCGTCAGTTTAGTTCTGCCCTCACCTTACCCTGACATGCCTCAGCATTGACTTCATTCCAGAGCTTTGAAGGTGTGCAATACTGCAGACAAACTTATGGTCAGAGCTGAGAGCAACTGAGGTTTGAGATCTCCTCTTTGTAATTCCAACCCATTAATTATTTGATACATAGTCTGCAGTTTACATAAACCTCTAAAACATAGCAAAACAGCTTTACACTTTTATTTTTTGATCACTGGGAATTAAGACCAAGAGGTAAAGCGTGTAGAAAAAGCTACAGAGATGGTGGTCTGTTTTACTCACGAAATCCTCTAAGGTCAAAGAAAAAGAAAAAAAAAAATAAATTGCTCCAACACAAAAGTAAATTTATAGGACAAAAGAGCAGGAGGGAAAAGAAAGCAACAGATGAGAAACTTGTCAACCTTATCAGCAGATTCTATCTACTCATTTCAAAGAGTTAACTTAGAAGCTTTCAAATAGAAAATGTGCAAATCTCTCACAGGATGCTAATTTTACGTATGAAATGCTCTTTAAAATCTGCAGTAAAGAACATCTTGCTTTTCTGGGGCTGGTGATCCAAGGATTCACGGTGTGGGATAGAAAAAGGTTTCATCTGATGCCTCACTGACTAGAATTGCAACTACCTCTGAACACTGAGGCAGTTCCCTCTGATCCCTTTGTAGCAATAAAGATAGCGATGCAGGAAAAAAAAATACCATGGAAGACAGCTTCCACAAAGGAATCATTCTGATTTTTGTGTGCTAGTTTGTAGGCATTCCAACAAAAACCAACATGAAAAAAGATATTTATTCCTTAGAAACTTTAGTTCTACCATGTTTGTGATTCTAAAGTATCTATTTTTTTTCACTTCTGTATGCATTTATTGTGAACTTACATTGCTTCTCTAACCAGAATAAAGGCAGGAAAAGAAAAGAAAAGAAAAGAAAAGAAAAGAAAAGAAAAGAAAAGAAAAGAAAAGAAAAGAAAAGAAAAGAAAAGAAAAGAAAGGAAAAGAAAGGAAAAGAAAGGAAAAGAAAAGAAAAGAAAAGAAAAGAAAAGAAAAGAAAAGAAAAGAAAAGAAAAGAAAAGAAAAGAAAAGAAAAGAAAAGAAAAGAAAAGAAAAGAAAAGAAAAGAAAAGAAAAGAAAAGAAAAGAAAAGAAAAGAAAACAACAGCAACAACAAAAAAAAAAACCAGCTCTACAAACATATTCTCACCTGTACTCTCAGGATTTGTGTTGCTGTAAAAAATACGAAGCTCAACTGAATATTAACAGACTACACAGTGAAGCAGAAAAAAAAAAAAAAAGAAATCTTTACCTGGTACAACTCATTCTTCACAAAGATACTGCCCAATGTGATCATTTCTCCCCTTGCAAGAGATCTAAATGAGCCTAACATACATGTTGGTTATCCTCCGACACATTTTTTCCTAACACCCTTGACCCAGGGACAAAGATCTTCATCTCTGTAAACAATTCTTGTCACACGGGTAGCATTTCATACAGAACTATGAACTGAAACACTTGGAAAAAAACCTTTCTCTCTAATCTGAAGATTGTCTAATTTGTAATTTTCAAGAAGACCATTTCTTCTTCTTGAGGAAAAGGAAATTGCCTCCAGTACTTGCTTTCAGCAAAATAAGTGCAATGAAGTAATCTCCAGCACATGCTGATCAGGTGAAACCCATTGAAGCCACTGGCCAATACAATTGACTCAAATGAGCATAAATACCTTACAGAGTGCTTGAATACTTACAGTGGAGTCTGATTCACAGCTCACTGGAACAACTAGTCCCTCCTCAAGTATCCCTGAGCTTCAGCTGGGGTACTTTTTCATTTAAATTTTTGCAATATTACAAGGTAAAATATTCAGGGATTGTTTTTATAACTCTCTGATGATGCTTTCAATAACAAAAGACCTAAAACATTAGAGGAAGTGCAGTGGCCATCACTGGCAAAGCACCCATGCTCTGCTGTGAGCCATCTGTGTGACAAGTGGAAAAATATGAAAAAGCATCTGATTGACTGCCATCAGTTTGAGAAGCTTGACCAGAAAGGAATTGACTTCAGCCGACAGTTTCTTGCCAACATCACAGAAATAGGTGGGAAAGCCCCAACTAGTAGCTTTCATAGAAAACACTCCTACTGTAGTGCCTGTCCTCCTCCAAAAGTATTTATGAAGTTTAAATTCAAATGAATAATCCCTAACAAATGCATTAAATCATTGTAGTTTCTTCTTCACAAGAGTTAGCCTTCCCATCACATACAGCAGAGCTCTGTGGAAGTGTAAGTCACAATAATGCAAACCAAGGAATATTTTGTTAGACTCATTGACACTAACAGGCAGTAGTTAAACAGTCTCTCTGGAATCATCTTACTGGCTGAGCTGTGCTCTCAGTGTTCCAAGTTCCTTCAGTGAGAAGGAAGACCAGGAACATTTAGAGTCTGTTCTGAGATTAAGAGTGTGAGCTCAGGCTGGAGCCTCTATCCCAAGCACAGTGTCCGTCACCGAGAATGAAATTGTCACGTACACTCTTTAAGAATAAGACTACTTCAAGAGCTATAAATGTTGAATGCTCTGCTTACTGAGCATGAACTTTGCAAGAGATTTTTGAAGGAAATGAATGTACCAGATAGATAAACACGTAAGATTCTTTCTCTTATTTCTGCACACCTATTTTAAAAGTATTTGCCACAGCATTTTTCATAACATTGTGCTATGATTCCTTGAACTTAACTTATATTTTCAAGATATTGCCTATTGTCAAAGCCCTATATCCTGTAAACCTGGGGAAAAGATTATTTTTTGTTAATTCAGCATCTCAGTTTCTGCATAATTCCCAGAAGGCAGTCAATGATTCTTTATTAGCTATGTGTTCATTTGGCAGTAGCAAGGCAAGGATCTGTGTGAAAGTATATCAACAGCAAGGTTAACTCTCTTGCAGTAGGAGGGCATACGGGAAAGTGAATCTCTTTATGGCAGTGTAAACTCACAATAGGTGATAACATATAAAAACAATGGATTTATATTGGAAAAACATACCATAAGCAGTGAACTGCAATTACAGGAAAAAAGCAGACACCGCCTTGTTAAAGGACTCCATTATGTTTTGATTGCATTTCTCCTGTGGTTTCCTCCAAATCAAACGTGTGCATACACACACACACATACACACACACACTTCCCATACCTCACTTCCATTCCCAATAATAGCCAAAATAAACATGAAAAATAATATTAAAAAAAAACTCTGTATTCAGTAATATTCACACCAAAGAATATGTATAGATATATCCATTAAAATTATGAACATTTCTAAATATATTTTATGTATCATACATATATTTATATGTATAATTACATATCCACAGAAGTAGTCTTGCTGTGCTAAAGTCAGCAGTAAAAGCAAAAACAGGTTTCACAATAGGACACCCATATATGCATATGTACTGGCTGTTTGGTTTGTGATTTATTTACAACTTAACTATATCATAATAAATGCTTACTGTTCTATTGTACAAACGTAATAGTAAAGGTTTAGGTTTGTTTTTAAATACAAAGACTGCAAATGAATACATGAAAAAAATTACACACCATGTACAGTATTTATAATTTATAAATGCAAAGTTAAGACCTCTTTAAATTATTGCACTTGCATATTTTTTGTTTTTCTTTTTTACAAAGATAGTTTATATGTATCATATATATATATATGTGTGTGTGTGTAAATATATATATATATATAAAACAAATCTTTCAGCTCACTGAATGTATTAAAGTTGAATGTTACCTTGAAGTTCTTTCTTCTCCACATAACAGCCCAACCTGAATTTTGAATATATATGAATCTACTCTACAAATCAGTTTGACCTATCCTAGAAAGCAGTCCATAGTTTTAGGTATTTTGACAGAGTATACACCCGTATTACAATCGAGCACAGTTTTTGGTCAGAGAGCAAAATAAGAGTTGTGATGTGCCTTTGCTGGATTGGGATATATAACCTAAAGTTTGAATGTGAACTTCCTTATAGTAGTGTGCAGAAAGTCTCTTCTGTGTTTAGAATGAAGAAACAATTTGTACCACTTCACAGAACTGCTCCTGTGTCACAGTGTTAGAGGCAAATGCATTATTTTAAGAGGGTCATAATTGTTCTGAACATCTGACAATCCCTATTTGAACGTGAATGGTGCTGTCTGCAGTCCCTACAATTTTAACACTACATGGCCTAAATGCAGTCATAGCAAATGCATCACACTGTTCCAAGTTTAAACACATGAAACAAAACTGTGCCACGTAAAAAGATGAATTCCGCACTGCATGTTCCCTCCAATGTGAATACACTCTAGCACATAGTCCCACTAAAAACACTACTGTATTTTTCTCTAATGGAATAACTAAATTACATACTACATTACAAAATTTGTGGACTAAATATAACAGTGGTGTTTCTGTCACTGATCTAATAAAATATGCAACATCTCAGATGAATATCATGCTAAGTCAACTATTTGGCCTTTCTCAATTAGTCCTTTTACTTGTCCTGGACTAGAAGCAAAAAAACAATCCAAACCACTAATAAAAATAATGCTGTTCTGGAAGTACAAAATCTAGCTCTTCTAGGGAAAAAAATAAAAATAAAAATAAAAAGCTCTGTCAGTTTTTTTAATTCATTTTATATATCATTAGGTTTTAGCAGGATAAAAATAGCTTTTGGATGTTTAGTTTAATGAGCCAGATTGCTGAAGTCTGAACAATTAAACGCCAGTGTATTAAACCTCAAACAAAACTCAAACGTACTTGAGCTGTAAATTTAAATCCAACTTCAAAATTGTGATTTTTGTTGATTTTGACTTTGGGAGTACAGACTTAAGTCCTTTTTCTACACAAAAAAATGGGCATGCCTGAATCTGTACTCTTTACATGCTAAGGCTGAATTTGCTTAGAAAATATAGGCCACTATGGTTAATTTTGTTAGTTTAGCTGCTAACAAAAAGAAATTTTTTGTTACAGTTACCAGGAAAGCAAACCACAACCACTGGAGCCAAAGTTTTTAATTCTAACAGACATTATACTCTAACAAACACACATTTTCAGTGGTCTGGAGAGTTCTGTATTAGAAAAATCATGTGATTGACTTGAGACAATAAGTACACCTTATTGTCAATTTGATAAATTTGTTAGGGAAGTATCTTCTGATCAGTACTTACAAACTTCAACATGTAGAACTGAATGATACAGTGAAATATTTGGAATAGTAGGTGGCAGAACTAGCAAAATTGTCTTCGCTGCTGACAAGGACTGAAAGATGGATTAAGAACTCCTTAACACAGACACAGTGTGATCAGAACTGTTTTTTTTGCAAAAGTTGTAAGTTCAGCATTCAAAGAAGAGGCAGAATAACAGCAAATAACTCACCAAGAAAAAACGTTCAGTTCAGTTGCTGGGGTGTCTGAATTTTGGAAAATATTTTTGTGGTCACTACATTTTTGGATGACGTCAATGTGAATTAGGAACCATTCACTACATCTCAAGTACTTAGCAGACGAAAGACTGCATCTGCAAGATTTCATTAAAGCAGAACTGCTAAGGAGTAAAAAGAGGACACAGTATGAGATACTGTCCTACGTCATTGTTTCCTGCCTTTTTTATTACTCAAATTAATTTACTGTGGTTAACAGTGAATTTCTGCTCTTAGAATTGGTAACACAACTGAAAAGAACTATGGGGCTGCTACTAGGTAACCTGTATTAAACAAATGATATAATTTAATATTGAATTTCCAACCTCTGGAATATCTATGTACTGCAAAGGCTTAGGTGCATTTATACATTATGTGATTATGCATCTTGTGCATCACATACTGTACACACGTACATACACTGGTATGTGCTCGACCATAACAGAAGGCAAAACTCAAGAGTTCAAGTCACCAAAATGAAACCCAGAAGATGGCATGCTAATTAGAACAATACAGCTCAAGAGACATGAGAAGAGAACTTACGTTCTGTCTTTGTCACTACTATTAACAGTTACACAAATGGATGTGTTATCACAGAATCACCACAAGAGTGTTTTATCTGTGAAAAAGCACATAATGCAGTATGGGCTGTACGTGAAACGTATACAAAGATCGTGTTGCGACCTACCAGGTGGATCAATACGAAGATTTTTTTCATTATTTTCAAGAGAAAGATGAAGGCAAAACAAGTGTTTCTTGAAACGTACTCTGTACAATTGCACTAAGTTCAAAAGAGTGGCATTAAATGTAAGGTCCTAAAGTCTGTGCATAAAATATTAAGGCTGAAGCCTAACTGAAGCACAGAACTGTAAACACAGTATTTTAGAGTAGTTTTCTTCTGTCAGCTATTCTTTTGCTGAGAAAGGCAGTTCCAAGTCTTGACATTTTGCTGAACTAAGGGAAAAAAAGCAAACAAAAAAGGGAAAAGCTTCCCAATTTCACTCATCTTAGGATGGGGGAAAGAGCAGTAGAAGACATGCAGTGTTACTGTGCAACACAAAAGCTAGTCTATACAAAAACTTTTTTTGATTTATTGTGATGGTACCACAGTTCCTCTTCTGAGGCTTGACTTTTCTGACAGGGCTTTTGTTTCCAGCAGATAGCATACTTCAGGTATGTTTCTAATACCTTTTAGAATATAACTCAGCAGGTAGAAATAAATATGTTG